TTTTTTTATGGGGCTATTTGAAGCAAAAGGTGTACGAAACTGAACCTGCTTCAATATTGGATATACGGCAGAGAATAATAAATATTTGTAGAGATATTAACGTTACTGTATTCGAAAATGTTCGCCGTGAAATATCGGATAGGCTGTTCATATGTCAAGAAGTTCAAGGCCACCATTTCGAGCATCTTCTGAACTGACCTCAAGCTTATTAACTCATATTATGTAGTTAAATGTCAATGTATTCAGGCAAATATTAAAAATTCCGCCATTTTGTAGTAGTTGAAGATATTGACATTATATTCTAGGGTTGTGAAGCATTTGTTAGGAGCTTCAAAAAAATGTGTCACAAGACCCCCCGTTCCATTTATTTTTTTCCCAGATGGCACCCAGTCTTCATCTTGAAAGTTTCATCTGTTAATTTCAATTCAAAATAAAGTATTCATGCATTAATTTCATTATCCCAAATTTCAATTTTTTGAGTTGACCCGTTCAAAATTTGAAAGAGGGGAACATTGAAGAAATGCACTGTAAATATAAATACTATATGTTTCAAAAGGAAAAAAAAACTAGAATAGTTCATGAACTGCAAGTGTTTTTTTATATGCGCGCAATAGGTAATAGGTACTTCGGGACGTTCCACGAGATAGGGTTAGGCTTCATCAGTTCCATATCATCTGTCTTATGTTAGATCAATGATGAATAGAACTCGTGCTTCATAGTTAAAACAAACAATATTTTCATCATCTCGAAGACTGCCACAAACTATTATTCGGGAGAATGGCATCATAAAACGTGTTACGATTTGATCAAGGGTATAAAACGGGGTATAAAGGGTATAAAACGAAAACTCACTTGTGCAAAAACCCGACGCAATAACGAGTACTCATATACCATAATAGACTAATCCTCTATTATCAAAGAAAATTTGGAGTGAAATAGTGAAGAATCCGTCAGTAACGATAAGTAATAGGCAAAATTCATCCAATCGTTTCAAAATGTAAACACTCACTGTCCCGTCGACCGAAACATACGATAAGGTTTTTTCCTAACTACTTTTTTTCTTTTTTCTCTCTGACTCGCCCGTTACTTGAAGAAGATCCATAGTAATTTCACAAACTACACCTAACGATTTTATCTTCACAAATTTTATTTTCAAAAATATCACATGTTTCGCTATCACAGTAGCTTTTTCGTAGTAAATAACATACTAATGGTAGTATTACTATTATGCGTGAGTATATACACATACGGAGTGTTCTTTCGCGGCGCTATCCTGATATTTCAAAACCTTTTAGAATTTCATTGAAAATTATAATGATTTTCTGCCCGACAAATTATTTCGACATGTAGGTCTTGTTCAGTATGCTACAATAAATGACTTTATAGAAAAAATCCCTATTCGCGAGAGATTTGAAGGAGATGAGGATTTTCTCGGGGTTAATTTTTCTACCCCACAAAATTTATTGATCCTATTATGTTCTCGACAATTTTCAACACGGCGGAGTTAATACTACTATAATTTTCCTCTTCAAGATCATATAAATCTGCAGCCATATTATCCCTCAGGGACATCACTTTCCGGTCACATTCAGATTGTTTGGTTCTAAAAAGTTTAGAGTTAT